CTCCCGAGGCCGTGGTGAAGGCCAGGGGCGATATTTCTCTGAAGATCCCTGGCACAAGGACCACGAGATTGGAATCTTACTCTGTAATCGATGATTAAGACGAAATCAGGAAAAAGCCAGGGAAAGTCACTGGTTTGAGGTCAAAATGTAGATAAAGGAAAGGTGAATGGGGAACAGGCACAGGAGCTGCAGTGCTGGAAAAGGGACATTGTCCTGCGGGGAGGATTGGGCATCAATTCTCTGGGGCCTTCAGGGCTATGGCCAGGATATACGCTTCCTTCATCTTCTCTTTTTAACAGCCCCTGAGGGTTAAATGAACCAGGGACATGGTCCTAGCAGTGTGCGAAGAGCAGCCCCTTCACCAGGTGGCCTTCAGAAAGGCCACTGAGCCTGAACCGAAAGGAGAAGGAGAACATGTGTGGGGAGACCCCTCTCCCATAAGAAACCCTAAATGATCAGTTGGCACAGAAGTGAGGGAGGCAGGTGCCTCAGACATGATGATGGGCCTGCCCTGATACTTCTCTATTTCACAGGATGCAGGTATTTGAGGGGTCTTCGGGTTATATTTCTCATCCAACTCCCTAATTGGATAGAGGAGAAAAGCAATTCCTGAAGAAGTGAATAGATTTATCTGAAGCCATCAGCTGAGAACAGAGGCAGAACTAGGCCCAGGCCCAGGCCTGCTGAGTCCAGGGCTCTGTCTCTGAGGAAGATGGATTCCCTGCCTCCCACCTACAGGTTGCTTGGCCCCTGAGCTCCTGCACCTGCTTGCTTGGAGTGTCCCCTGATGAGTGCAGAGCAGGGACAAGGACTCAGGGCTGACATTCACTACCATCCTCTGGAGCCATGTTGGGGGCGGTAGACAGCCAGTGATGTGCAGAAACAAGGAGTCCAGTGCTTGTTGGAAAAAGGGGGAACTAGGCACCAAGTGGTGATTAAGATAATTAAAGCTCTAGCCAAACTACATGCCAAACCAAATGCCTGGCTGCATAATCCCTTCCTGCTGTTATGTCCCCTACCCCCTGGTTCTCCTCAGTCTCCATGAGTAGGGTCTCCCTGCCCTTCCTGGGGTGTGTACGCCTGAGACCTGTCACGTTGGGTCTGCTGTTGTGTTTGCCTCCGTGGACTGGGCAGACACCCAGGCCCCAGCTCTTCCACAGGTCCTTTGTCCATGTGGCACCAGGACCACACAGGGGCTGCTGAGTGGCTCCCTGACTACCAGTCCCCCAGTCTATCTCACCTTCCCCACTCCACCTGGGAGGTCATCTAGTTGCAATAGCATTTCATTGGGGGGAGGAACAGAAGCAATTTGAGGAGCTCATAGTATCCAAGAGTTTGAGGACTAGACTAACAGTTACAGGCATTCAGAAAAGGGAGAGACGAACACGTGTGTACAGGAGAGCGGGGAGGGATTTCCTGCTAAGGAAGCTGGTCTATGGGGAGGGTGTTGAGTGGGAAGGAAGAGGGGGCACAAGGGATGCCCTGAATTATGAGTGCCATTTAGTGACAATACCCTGTAACCTTATAGGTCCATCGTTTCTTCTTATCTACAAATTCTCTAGGTTGTTTGCAAGAATAAGAAGCTGAACTTCTTTACAAATCGAGAAAAGGGGGCATGTGGACTCTAAGTAGGGTTTGCATGTTTCTTGCCACTAAATGTCTTTAATTGGAAGACAGAATAGGTTCTATGAAATGTATTAAATGACAGATGCTGTGGTGTGGCTCACACCTTCTCACCTACACCTTAGGGTTTAGTTTATCCTTCCCCACCGTCGTTAACTTACTATGGGTCCCTCTCTCTCCTGTGCACCCTCAAGAGGTATGATGCTTAATTTTTATGTGTCAGTTTGTCTGGGCTAAGGAATGACCAGATAGCTGGTAAAACATTATTTTACAGTGTGTCTGTGAGGGTGTTTCTGGAAGAGATTAGCATTTTCATCAGTAGGCTGAGTAAAGATTACCCTCACCAATGCAGGTGGGCATCATCCCATCTTTGAGGGTCTGAGTAGGATAAAAAGGTGGAAGAAGGGAGAATTCATTCTTTTTGCTTGAGCTGGGATACCCATCCTCTATTGTCCTCCGACATCAGTGCTCAGGCCTCAGATTGGAACCTGTACCATCAGCGTCCCTCCTCCCCGCATTCCCAGGCCTTTGGACTTGAACCGGGGGCTTAACACCATTGGCTCCCCTGCTTCTCAGGCCTTCAGACTCAGATTGAATTACACTTTCCTAGTTCTCCAGCTTCCAGACGGCAGATTTCTCAGCCACCATAACTGTGTGAGCTAATTGCATATATATATATAGTACTGGTTCCATTTTTCTGGAGAACCTTAACTAACACAGGAGAATTTAACTGCTATGGAGAGGAGGCAAGATATAAAATGAAGGAAAGCATCTCAGTTCAAGGCAGCCAGGAAATAATTTAACTTAATGTGATTTAATTTAAATGGCTTTCTGCATCCTGGTTGGCATGTCTGAACTTCTCTATATTGAACCAAGAATCTTCCCAATTGGTCCTGGCTGAGACACAGTCAAAATTGATCCTGCCTAAGAGGCTGCAGGGGGGAGGCGAGGCCCTCCCAGACACCATGTCTGTGGGCCTGGGAGCCAAATCACCAACCTTCCCGGAGAGCATGGGCTTCTCAGCCTCTGGGGACAGCTCTTGGTCCAGGTGGTCTGAGGGCCAATGGAGTCAGAGTCTCCTGGGGCACTTGTTAAAAACCTTGTCAAAAAACCCTGGGGGGAGGGGCATCTGGAAATCATTATTTAAAAAGCACCCCAGACAATCTAATTAGCACACTGCAGCTTGAGAGGCACTTGGTCAGTCTCTGAGCAGCTGTTGGGCATTGATTGACGCCACTGCCATCTATAACGATGACCTCTTCATATCCTCTTGCCCCTGACAGACTGGTGAGGTATCGAGGATTTCTTCATATCGCCATTCCAGAGGGTCAGGAGAACTCTAGGGAAAGGTCAGGCAAACTCTGGGTGAGAGACCCTCTCAGGGAGACCGCCGTGTGTGTGTGTGTGTGTGTGTGTGTGTGTGT